CCGGACCGACCAGACACACAATGTGGCGTCCGGACGGTCCAGCCGTACACCCCATGGTGCGTCCGGTCCGTCCATCCGGACACCCCATGGTTTCCGGACGCGCAAAAAAAATTAAAAAAATAAAATTAAAATTATTTACAAAGTAAAAGAACATAAAAAAAATACATAGTCAATCTTCAATGTATTGCCGATGTTATGGTATTTTTTTCGAATTTTTTTCAAAAAAAATTTGACGGTCAAAAGAGCCGTAAAAAGTCGAGAGGGAAAGAGTAGAGATAGAAAGTAGAGAGATAGTGTAAAGGGCAAAAACGTAATTAGGAAGGGCAGTGACTAGTAAAAGGGGCAGTAAATAAAGATTCACAATTTGTAATTTAGTTGAAAAGTTTTCCCTTTGACCCCTCAAATTTTGGTTTGTCTGAATCATTTTGGAATTTGTTCGATTTCTTCGGTGGTTGTGTACTATATTTAGCATTATTTTTCAATCCGGACCGACCCGACGAGTCGATTCGGGACCCAGTCGACCCGGAGCCGGAAGTGGTCCGAATAGGCTATTTGGACCAGGTAACAATGGACCCGGTTAAAACCTGGCAAACCCGGTCCTGACCCGGTCGACCCGGGTCATTGAGCCGGGCAGGTCAACCCGGGTCATTTAGCCGGGCAGGTCAACCCGATTGATCCGGTACACATATTTTTTATTATTTTTTAATATTTTTTATATAAAAATATAAAAACTATGTAAATATATTGATATAGTAAATATTTATTGTGAGATACAATTTTTTTAACACTTTGATGTACAACTTTTATATATAAAACATTATTTTTGTTACTTTTATGTATATTTATTTGTCAAAAATATTATATATAATTCAAAATATTTTAATTAATTATCTGATTCACCAATTGACTCGGTGATCCGGCGGTTGAACCGGTGACTCGGTGACCTGGAGACCTGCTCAGGTCGATTTCCGAGCCGAGTTTGAAAACTATGATATTTAGTCAATGTTGAATTTTTGTTGAGCTCAGTACTATATAATTTTCCTATCTAATAGATGATTTGTCATAATGTAGTTGAAAAAAAATTATAGTAGACGAACAAAAAATACTCTTAGAAAATGGAATTATTTTTCGGGGAGGCGAAGAATGGAATTACAGAAATAAATTTGTTTCAGAACCAATGACAATTATATGTTTACCAATGACAATTACATGTTTTTCGATAAATATATGCATACTTTTAAATTAAAATTTTGAAATCTATAAAACAACATATACAAGCATTATTGTTGAATTTGGTACTAAATAAATTTTATTTTCCAGTCATTGTATTCTCAGGATTATCTAGATGATTTGTTTTATGTTTTATTTTGTATTTTATTCTGTTGGATTAATTTGAGCAGATGCATAAAAAAGTACACACAAAAATTGAGTATTTTTCTTGTGAGGGAAAATATTTTTTTTATTACAAAAAAAAAAAAAAACAATTGTTCCATAGTTTATTGTACATTGAAATTAATGGAAGCATAAATAAAACTATTTCTTACATATAATTTGTCAAAACAAACTAAAAACTCATGAAATTAGTGGCGTGATTTTCTCATGCCCCATGGTTACAAGAGAAG